CTATAGGAAATGATGAGCAGGTGGACTTCAGAAAAACCTGGAAAGACTTGTATGGACTGATGCTGGGTGAAGTGAGCAGAACCAGGAGCATGTTATACACAGTAACAGCGATGTTGTGTGATGAGGAATATTGATAGACTCAGTCCTTCTCAGCAATACAAGGATCTAAGACATCTCCAAAGGTCTTATGATGGAAAATGCTATCCACATCCAAAGAAAGAACTATGGAGTCTGAATGCAGATTGAAGCGTACTATTTGCTATTTTTTTCTTCTGTTTTGTTTTGTTTTCTCTTTCTTGTGGTTCCTCCTATGGTTCTAATTCTTCCTTACAATATCACTAATGTGAAAATATGCTTAATAGGAATGTATATGTATAGCCTATATCAGATTGCATGCAGTCTTGGGGAGGGGGGAGGGAGGGAGGGACGAAGGGGGAGAAAAATTCAAAACTCAAAAGCTTATGGAAGTGATTGTTGACAAATCAAATTAATTTAAAAAAAAGAAGAAGCATTTCTTGTGCTTCCTATGGACTAGGCAGGGTGTTCAGCATTGGGGATCCAAATACTAGTAAAAAGGAAAGAGCCCCTACCCTCAAGGAGTTTCCATTCTAATGAGGGAAGCACCAGTCCAGGAGTTAAAAAGAGTCTGGGAGAGGTGGACCTTTACTCAACATGGCCATGCCAGGAAGAACTGACCAGTGGGAGAAGGAGGTCAAAAGGGCGAAAAGTATGTTCCAGGGCAAGAAGGCCAGAATAGAAGAGATCACCTCCAGGGAGAAGAAGGCAGCTGAGGAATGGTGTCAAAGCTGGAAGAGCCACATGCATTTCAGAGACATGATCTGAGTAGAAGGGAGGATGGAAAGTGTGACCCATGGGGAGGAATGAGTTGACCCAAAGGGAGAAGGAAAAGATAGAAGATAACAGAGCACAAAACAACCTTGAGTGACTCCCACATTATGGGGTAAGAGGAAGTGGTTGGAAGGAAGATGAGATACTGCAGAAGCAGCATTCCAGGAGAGGAAGGACCCCAAAAGTCTGGGGGTTGCTTGCCTTAGTCCTCAGAACTCAAACCTCTGGGTGAGAAACAGGCTTCCTGGACCAGAGAGGAAGAGCAGAACCTTCCAGGTTTCCCCAGCTGAAAAGGCTTTTCCTCTGGAATTTGTTTCAGGGTATCTACATCCTGTTTCTGTATCAGTGATTACCTCCCCACCCTCACCTCCAAGTCTCTCAGACCCCATGAACTCCCTCTACTTACCCTCTTCCTTCTTCCCCCTCCCCCAATGTACCTAGAAAAGCAATTCACAAGAAATTCAAAAGTCCCTTGGGTTTATGAAGGAGGAGCTGATGGGGGATAGGAAGTGTTTACGTAGCAGAACAGCCCTGGGAATTCCCAGGTTCCCGAGGTGATACTTTTCTTTTTAAAATTTCTTTAAAGCAGTCATTATTGATGAGAGACTAGACCTGGAGGAATTTGTTTTCCTAGTATCTTGATAGGATTGTATCCTGTTACTCCAGTTAAGTGGAATACTTAACTGCAATCTTGTGGGATGTCTTCATACAGTTTTTCAGAGATTTTATAACAGATCATGACAGTAATGGTACATAGTGATCTCCCCAGAGAGGGGAAAAGGGTAAAAAGAACAAAAGAAAACAAAAAGGGAGCAAAGAAAAGCTGGGCAGCTTTGAAAACGATGTGTAGTATTTATTAGATAGGTTTTCTTGAAATGGAAATCCATTGCTCTGTATTTAATCCCCTCCCATGGTGTGCTGCATACACAGCACTGGTTTTTTGTTTTTGTTTTTTTCTTTTCTCATTTTGTATTTAAAGAGGTGATACTTTTTTTTTTAATCAGAATTTAGGTTGACATATGACACACTGGTGCACAGCTAATCTGAGCCTTGCCCTGATCAGACCCCAGGACAGCCCTCTTCCAAAAGCACAGCTGACAGTCCAGGGCCCAAGAGCCACCCCAAGCAGTACCCCAAAAATAAATCCAGAATCTGCTGCCTCTTTACTGGAAAAGAGAAGCGAAGAGTGGCTTTTGTGGGCAAAGGATGGTTTTCCTTTCTGACCCTGATGAAATCTTGGAGGGGTGGGTGGGGTGGGGTGTAGAGAAGAATGTGGACAACCAGGGAGACTAGGACTGGGAAAATTCCAAGTTCTCTGCCCTCAGCTTCAACTTCAGGAATGAAGCCATCACATCCATCCATCCATCCACCCATCCATCCATCCGTCCGTCCATCCATCCATCCGTCCACCCATCCATCCATCCGTCCGTCCATCCATCCATCTATTCATCCATCCATCCCTTTAGTTAGGCGGAAGACTGCTAGGTCTTTGATGGCTCTGACTGCAGAGCTGGCAGTGGTAGTGGATGGCATTCAGTTGGGAGTTGACCTGTGGTCCAGCCAAACGGCCTATTTGTTCTCCTGGACATGCATTCTGTCTTCCATCTTCCTTGGCATAGGCTGCTCCCATACCTAGAATGCTCTCAGAACCCTCTGGCATCCTTCAAAGCTCAGCTTTGGTGTTGTCTCTTCAAGAGGCCTCATCTGATTCCCCCAGCTGGTAGTGCTCCCCCTCTTCACACTGATGGGTATTTCTTTAGTCCACATCCTCTCACTGATGGGTATTTATCTGAGAACATAGAATCAAAGATGGAGGCAGCCACCAGGCCCAACAACCTTCTTACTCTGGAAGGTCCCTCCAGCCCTTTGGCTCCTTTCCCTGACTGGTCATCTCCTCTTGGACTCTCCCTTTTAGGGAAAGGCCCAGGCCAGATTTGTTTCCTCCTTCATTCCTCACCAGGGTCCACTCCTGACTCTCTGGATGTCTTTCTCTACCATGCCCCCATTCAAGGACATTCACCTCACCTCCCTCTTCAGCTCCTTGTCTGTGTCTCCTTTCCCTCCCCCATTCAAATGGAAGCACCATGAGGGCTTTGTTTCTATTTGCACCTCAGTGTTTAGCACTGCTGGGCATACAGTAAGTGCTTAATAAATACGTAGGGAAACACATCTCCTATAGTCTCTTTCTCTCCTCTGACCCATCACCCTTCTAGTGCAGTCCCTCATCACCTCAGGCCTGTACTACTGTAATAGCCTGCTGGTGGGTCTGCCTGCTCTAAGTCTCTCCCCACTCCAATCCATCTTCCATTCAGCCACTAAAGGGATTCTTCTAAAACACAGGCCTAACCATATCACTACCTTGCACAAGAAGCTCCAGGGCCACTAATTAGAGAAATGCAAATTAAGGCAATTCTCAGATATCTCCTCACACCTGTCAGATCAGCTACCATGACAGAAAAGGAAAATGACAAATGCAGGAGGGGCTGTGGAAACATGAATGCTCTGCTGGTGGAGTGGTGAACTAGTCCAGCCATTCTGGAAATCACTTTGGAACTATGCCCAAAGGACTATAAGACTGCATATCCCTTTGATCCAGCAATACCACTGCTAGGTCTGTATCTCAAAGAAGGCAAAGAAAAAGGAAAAAGCCCTATATGACCTAGTAATGGTATTGCTGGATCAAAGGGCTTGCACAGTCTTATAGCCCTCTGGGCATAGTTCCTGGGTGTCCTCCAGAATTGACAGGGAGTATTCAGTGTATGTTCCTTCTCTCCAGTTCTAAAATTCCATGTGTCTGTTCCATTGTCCCATCCTGACCTAATTTTCTGTGTCCTAAGGCCCCCTCCAACACTCAGTCTTGTGATCTTATGGATCACAAGGACTGGGTAACCCACACCCCAACTCCTGGGATTCCCTTCCCCCCGATTTCTTCATTTCTCTGTCTCAGTCTCCAGTGAAGGCTGAGCCGTAAAGGCGATAAGGAGCTTCCAGGGAGCAGAGTCCATTCAGACTCTTTTCTATCCACAGTCCCTCCCCTAACCTGCCTTAATGGCCCCCAATGTCTGGGGTAAGGTCCAGGGAATGCAGGAAGGAGCCCAGAGTGCTTCACCCATATTCCAAACGGGGGCCAGACTGCGAACTTTGCTAAATGTCCTCACTCCCAGCCTTCCCCCCACCCCCCGCAGCCATAGGTCCTCCTCTCTGTTGCTTTCTGAAGGTGGCACAGGGTTATTTATACAGGACATCTAGAGAGAGTGGGGGAAACTCCCAGTTCCAAAGTTGGTAAGGATCTCTGCAATTGCTAGCTGGTCCAGCTCAATTCTATGTAAAGAGACCTTTTTAAAAAAATAAAAAAGTGAATTTTTTAGCCTTTATTTTTTGAGCTCCAAATTCTCTTCCCACCTCCAGTTCCTCTCCGAGCCATTGAGACGGGAAGCAATATGATACCCATCATGCTTGTGGAGGCATGCAAACCATATTTCCATATTAGCCAAAAAAGCAAAAGGAAAAGAAAGAAAGAAAATGGCCAAAAAACAAAAAACAAAAGACCCAACCCCAACCCTATGCTTCAATCTGCAGTCAGAGTTGATTAGTTCTCTCTGGAAGTGCACAGCATTTTTCTACAGATGATTTCTTTGAAATTGTCACGGACATTGTCTTGATCAGAGTAACTAAGTCTTTCCCAGTTGTTCCTGGTTATAATGTTGCAGTTACTGTGGACTGTGTTCTCCTGGTTCTGCTCTCTTCACTCACTTGGTTCAGAGAAGTCTTCCCAAGGTGTCCTTTTGGGAAGACCCTGGAACAGGATTTCCCTGGTGCCCTAATGAAGGGAGATGGTTGTTTTTTAAAGGTTGAATACCTTTATTCCACACCCTTTCATTTTTTCAGATGAGTTAACTTGATGTTTACAATCACAGGATTAAAGAAAGATAGATTTCAGAAGGGTCTTGGGGATCAATCACTTGGTTCTGCTCCACCTCTCTCTCCCCACCTTGGAGCCCAGCGCAGCACGGAAACAGCCCTGACTGCTGGGGTCACGTCTGAGGTGCAGGGATCTGTAGGGTCCTGCGGTCCTCCTCGCCCCGGCGCCAGGCCAGAACGGGGGGCGGAGACAGGGGCGGGGACAGGGAGGGCGGGCCAGACCCCGCTGGGCAAGGAGGTTAAAGATTGGGACTCTCAGCCTCCCTGCACAACCAGCTCGTCGACGCTCAGTTCTCGGCTTCACCAACTCCAGCAACCCAAGCATGACGGCTCGGGCTCCTTTGGCATCTCTGCTCTTCCTCCTGCTCCTGGTGCACGTAGTGCCCAGCCAGGCCTGGAGTCTCCGACAGCCGGAACTCCACCGAAAATCCCAACCCACAACGCCTGTCTGTACTCAGCCCGTCTACAATTGGTGCTCCTCCTGGGAAAATTCCCGAATCTGCGAGGTACTGGGTCCGGGCAGAACCGCTGGCTAGACGACGGCTGGGAACGCGACCGGGGCTGGAGCAGGGGAATGGGGAATCCTGAGCTCTTTTTGCCTCCGGAAGCCAGGCAGGCACCTGGTGGGGCACAGACCAGCAGGCGGGACAACGTCCCAAGGCGGGTCTCTGGGTCATCTGACCCTCTCCCTATCCTAGGCCTGCACCAGACACTCGGTGAGATAGGAGCCAGCTACATCAACCCATCAGGCCAGAGGCAAAGGGAATAGAACCAGGGTCTCTGAGTACCAGACAGGCAGATAGCTCCCTGAAGGACATGGCTGGACAGAGAAAGTAGCATCTAAGTGACAGACCCTGGAGCATATAAGCAGGGACCTGGATAAAGAAACCAGGAGGGCAAAGCGCTTTTCCCCCAGAGCCTAGGTGGTAGCCTTGGATGGGTGGGCCTTCCTACAGCTCCAAGTGGTCCCACAGCCTTTTCTTTTTCCCCTACTGCTTTTCCTAGCAATTTAGACTTAATTTAGATTTGACTTCAGGGTGGAGGTGCCCATGGGAGATTCACCTGAAGTGGGACTATCCTTGCCCCTGCCTGGGGTCATTGGGCAGCCAAGCATCTAGAGGATGTTTCCTAGGGAGCTGGAAGCTGGGAAGAGCAGGAGAAGAAAAGTGTTGAGGGGAAGTCAAAGATGCAGCCAGTTGAGAGGGTCAGGATTTGCTCAGAAACCCATGACAGGCACATGGTGACTCACTGGAGCCGATTCCTCAGTGGTTTCAGAGGATGGGGAAGGGGTGGCCAGAGAAGTAGGAAGCTGTCCCCAGTCAGTGGCCATAAGGGATCTTCTTTATCATGAAGAATGGGAGAGCTGAGAGGGCTCCTAGAACACAGAGCTGGAAGAAGACTGCAGGCATCTATTGATAGGGTGACAGGGCCAGAAATTCTGGGGAGAATACCTGTGCCAGAAGGGTCCTCCAGATGATCAGGGACCAGTGGCCTCATTCTGCAGATTGGGAAACAGGCCAGAGAGTTCCTCTCTGCCAGACCATCAGCCAGCCAGTATTCATTAAGTGCCTCGAATGTGCCAGATGGTGCTAGGGCTGGGGCTAAAACACCAAAGGGAGATAGTCCCAAAGGACTAGCTCCATGAGGAGCTGCCACTCTACTGGGGGATAGAACATGTTCACTGCACACAAGTCAATCTAGCCCGTAGGAGACCGGCACCCCAGTGGATGTCTGCATTCATTGGCACAGGAAAGTCTGCTGAGCAGTGTCCCTCTACCAGGGAAAGTTGGTACTTTCTCTACTACTTACCATCTTAGAGAGTGTCTCAGGCACTGAGACCCAGTGACTTGCCCAAGACTACTTAGCCACTAGGTGCTTAGGACAGGACCCAGGTCTTCCTGGCTTCATGGGAGCCTTTGCATGTGGGACAGATGGACAGATAGAGTATATATGGATATGTCTATTGATAGCTATATAAAATGTATGTATGTGCATGTATGTCTATATGAATATATCTAGAATATCAACAACATATTGATGGGGGCAGGGGGAGGACATTGACAAAGAGGTCTCTTAAAGGAGGTGTCACTGAGCTGAACCTTAAAGGAAGCTAGGTGTTCCAAGACAGAGGTAGGGAGGTAGAACATTCCAGGTATCAAGGGCAGCCTGTGCTAGGACCTGGAGGTGGGAGATGGAGTCTCCTGTTCTAGAAAGAGCAGTTGGCTGAAGTATAGAATGAGTGATAGGAAGTCATGTGTAATGAGTCTGGAAAGAGAGGCTGTGTAGCCAGAATCTGATGGGCATTCAGTGCCAAAGAAAGGAGTTGGTATTATTTTTTTCACAACAGCAGAGGAAGGCCAGTGAAACTTCTTGGGGAAAATCACTCTGGCAGCTGTGTGCAGGATGGATTGGAGAGAGGAGAGGCTGGAGGCAAGGCCAGACCCTGCAATAGTCTGTGTAACGGACAACATGAGGGGACTTGGCTGCTGTTGGCTCTCAGGGTCCCATAGTGGGCAGGGAGCTCAGTGCAGCTTGGCCTCAGGAGCCTGTCACACTGTACTCATGTGTCCACCCCCCATGTGCCCTGACCTGCCCATCCTATAGGCGGAGAAGGAGTGTTCTGCCCTATGGAGACCTTCAGCTGTCCAACCTGTCTCTGTACAACTCTTCTATGAGGCCCTGTGTCCTGCGTGCAGGGACTTCTTGTCACTGCTGCTCTTTCCTACCTGGGCTTTGCTGGGTGATAACGTCATGAATGTCACTCTTGTGCCTTTTGGCAATGCTCAGGTGAGTGATCCAGCTCTGCCTGGGGTGGGGGTGAGTGACAATAGGGGGGAGCTTGTCAAGGGCCTTCTGCCTTCTCCTTCACATCTTGGGGGCGGGGTGTATTTCAGGAGAAAGAAGTGAATGGGACCTGGGAGTTTACCTGTCAACATGGGGAGCTGGAGTGTGAACTCAACATGGAACAGGTAAAGACTCCTCTGCCCCAAGCCTCTCTTGGAGGTGTTTTGTGACTGTGAGCAGTCCACTTAACCTCTGGGCTTTCTTTTGCACTCCTGGTGCATTGGGGGGGGGGGCAAGGTGTGTGCTATTTCCCCAGGGCAAGAGGATTCTTGCTTTCTGCCTCTGCTCCTACAGACCTGTGTGTTGTACCTCCTTGGGAAAGAGTTTCCTAATGCCTTTGCTGTGATCAACTGTATGATGTCAACTGCTGATCCAGAGACCTCACTAGAGCCGGTAAGTGCCTGCCTGGTCTAGGCAGGGGGGAAAGAAATAGGAAGGGAGGAGATCCCTTCCAGCCCCCCCTTTGTCTCTGCCCTGGGGCTGCAGCCAGACAGATGGCTCCCTGAGCCCTGAGGCAGCACTTCATTCTCCTGAGTTCACCTAAAAGACATTAAGAGCTTGTGCAGGACAGGAATGGCTGTAAGATCTTGGAAAAATGACTGCTGTTTCTTTCAGCCTTGATTTCCCCATCTGTAAAGTAGGGAGAGTAGAAAGGTAGTTGCTAGGATCAAGTAAAAGTCACTGATGTGGCAAGTGCTAAGACCAGTAGGGAGATACTGGTAATAGATGGAATAAAAGAAGTGATGGAAGGTTTTTTTTTTTTTGGCTTTTTGGTGAGGCAATCGGGGTTAAAGTGACTTGCCCAGGGTCACACAGCTAATAAGTGTCAAGTGTCTGAGGCTGGATTTGAACTCAGGACTTCCTGACTCCAAGGCTGGAGCTCTATCTACTGTGCCACCTAGCTGCCCCTGTGGAAGGCATTTTAATAGTGTTAAGAATAATTCATATTTCTAGAGGTGTTAGTTTCCAGAATGTTCCACGATTGTTCTTGTGAGAAGAGTAGTGAAATGATGGTCACTGCTACTATTTAGAGCAAATGGCTGAGCAGTGGAAATCCCCATACAGACCAAATTCCTCATCCTTAAAGTATGAAAGCAAGGACCTCGTCCTTGGGGACTTACCTCCCCAGGTGCCCCACCTCCTGGACCTGCTTCTACACTTCTTCTGTTGGTGAGGCTGGGTTTTCTGCTGTCTTAGATGGGCAGAGTAGTAATGAATGGTCCAGAAGTAAAGACAGGCACTTTCCTCACCAACCAGGCTAATTTGGGGGGGGCTTCCTGGAGAGTAGCAGGAGCTCAAATCTCCTCCAGAGGCTTCCTCCAGTGAATGCAAGCTCGGTTGCAACCTTCTGACAGTGTCTGTGTTCTCTGCGGACCCAAAGGTGGCAAGATCTCAGAAGACGAACTTCAAGGCAGGGCAACAGTCCTCTGAAGGGACCACAGTCCCTTTGCCTTTCATTCTATCCTCAGTGCTTAGCACAGTGCTTGGCACCTAGTCATTGCTTAACAAATGTCTACTGACTGACAAACTGAGACTAGTCCAGACAAGTGGTAATTATCAACAAATCTGTTGACTTTTTTTTAATTAATTTATTTTGATTTGTCAAAAATCACTTCAACAAGCTTTTGAGTTTTAAATTTTTCTCCCCCTCCCTCCCCAAGACTGCATGCAATCTGATATAGGCTATACATTTACATTCCTATTAATCATATTTTCATGTTAGTGATGTTGTAAGGAAGAATTAGAACCAATAGGAGGAACCACCAGAAAGAGATAACAAAACAGAAGAGAAAAAGAGTCAATAGTATGCTTCAATCTGCACTCAGACTCCACAGTTCTTTCTTTGGATTTGGATAGCATTTTCCATCATGAGTCTTTTGGAGATGGCTTAGATCCTTGCATTGCTAAGAAGAGCTAAGTCTATCAAAGTCAGTCATCACACACTGTAGCTGTACAGTGTTCTCTTGGTTCTGCTCACTTCACTCAGCATCAGATCATACAAGTCTTTCCAGGTTTTTCTGAAGTCTGCCTGCTCATCATTCCTTATAGCACCATAGTGTTCCATTACATTCATATACCACAACTTGTTCAGCCATTCCCCAAGTGATGGGCATCCCCTCAATTTCCTATTCTTTGTCACCACAAAAAGAGCTGTAATAAATATTTCTGTACGTGTGGGTCCTTTTCCCGTTTGTATGATCTCTTTGGGATACAGCCCTAGAAGTGCTATTGCTGGGTCAAAGGGTATGCACAATTTTATAGCCCTTTGGCCATAGTTCCAAATTGTTCTCCAAAATGGTTGGCTCATTTCACAACTCCACTCACAATGTATTAGTGTTCCAATTTTCCCGCATCTTCTCCAACATTTATCATTTTCCTGTTTTGTCATGTTAGCCATTCTGATAGGTGTGATGTGGTACCTCAGAGTCATTTTGATTTGCATTTCTCTGATCAATAATGATTTAGAGCATTCGTTGACTCTTGATGGATTCATCTTGTGGGTATTCCCTCTGCCCACTGTGGGGAAGGGAGGTGGTATTCTTTCTATGTCTTCTCATCCCCTGGGGTTCTTGTCCATGTCCTTTCATGGCTTCTCACTTGGAGGATCCATCCAAGGCATCAGAGTCTTTGCAAATTTCATAGACAATAGTGCTACACTCATACTCTCCATCCTCGTTTCATACTGTTGTTAGTGACAGGCCAATCCTATATCCACTTCTCTTGAGACCATCCTAGTCTGACTGGTTTCTACGTAGGCTGCAACCTTCATCTGCCTACCATCCATCTCCCATCATCCTTTGAGTCACCTGTACTTCTACTCTTGGAGGGGGAAGGACCTGCCTATGCTTTTCATCACTGTAAGGAACTCTTGCTATGGAAATGACCTGTAGATTCCCAGTTGCTTTTGGCTTAGTTTTAGAAAGTTTCCTGAGAAAGTTTGGTGACTTACCCAGGATCACACAGCACCAGAACCCAGGTCACTCTCAGATCAGTTCTGCTGAGTCACAATTCACCCAGAGAATATGCTATTAAAAAGAAGGGCATTCGTTGGTGGCAGGGATGAATTCAAGTCACCCACCCTCTACTGAACGGCAGCTATGTGCTTAGCATTGTACTAGGCACTTGGGAATACAAAGACAAAATGAAAACTAGACTCTTCACTGACATTTTCCTAAAGCAACTCATGAAACAAACAAAAATTATGATGACTAAGAAGGGTAATAAAAACTCTCATTTTTTTATTAATTTATTTTGATTTGTCAACAATCACTTCCATATGCGTTTGAGTTTAAAATTTTTCTCCCCCTTCCTCCCCACCACCCTCCCCAAGATAGCACACAATATGATATAGGCTATACATATACATTCCTATTAAACATATTTTCACATTAGTGATGTTGTAAGTAAGAATTAGAACCAATAGGAGGAACCACCAGAAAGAGGAAACAAAACTCGAGAGAAAAAAAAAAGCAAATAGTGCGCTTTGATATGCATTCAAATTCCATAGTTCTTTCTTTGGATGTGGATAGCATTTTCCATCATGAGGCCTTTGGAGATGTCTTAGATCCTTGTATTGCTGGGAAGGGTTAAGTTTATCAATATCAGTCATCGCATAATATGGCTGAAAAACTCTCATTTTTGTAGTGTTTGAACACTGACCAAGATCATTGTTCACAACAGCTCGGAGGGAGGTTGTGTAGAAATTTCTGTTGATGTGTCATTTTTTTAACTGAATCATCTTTTTTTTTCCGTCTTTTTTTTTGTTTGTTTATTTTTTGGTGAGGCAGTCAGGGTTAAGTGATTTGTCCATGATAACACAGCTCACAACGCGTCAAGTGTCTGATGCCAGATTTGAACTCAGGTCCTTCTGATCCCAGGGCCAGTGCTCTATCCACTGTGCCACCTAGCTGCCCTTTGAATCACCTTTTTTTTTTTGAAGTTTTGAGTTCCAAATTCTATCCTTCCCTCCCTGCTCCATAAGATGGTAAGCAATCATATACTGATTATATATGTGCAATTATGGAAGACAGTTTGGTATTAGTCATTTTGTACAAGAAGACTAAAATAAAAGAAAAAATGAAGGTGAAAAATAGAATGTTTTGGTTTGTATTCAAACAATATCAGTTCTTTCTCTGGAGGCAGATAGTTCTTTGAGATTATCTTGGATTACTGTAATGCTAAGCATAGATAAATCATTCACAGTTCTTCACTGAACAATAGTGCTATTAAATATTCTCCTGGTTCAGTTCATTTCATTATGTATCAGTTAGTGTAAGTCTTTCTAGGTTTTCCTGCAATCACCCTGCTTGTCATTTCTTACAGCAGCACAATAATATTCCATTACAGTTATATACCACAGCTTGTTTAGCCATTCCCCAGTTGATGGGCATCCCTTCATGAATCAATGAACAGAAATTTATCTTCCTTATCTCACACCTATGGTTCCCTTTATCCCAACTGGTAAAAACAACAATATTCCCCAATTGATAAATGGTCAAAGGACACGAACAGGCAGTTTTTAGATGAAGAAATCAAAGCTATAGGCATATGAAGAAGTGCTCTAAATCACTTCTGATTAGAGAAATGCCAATTAAAATAACTCTGAGGTACGACCCCACACCTATTTGGCTAATATGATGAAAAAAGGAAAATGATAAACACTGCAGAGGATGTGGAAAAATTGGGACATTAATGCATTGTTGGTGGAGATGTGAAGTGGTTCAACCATTCTGGAGAGCAATTTAGAACTATGCCCAAAGGGCAACCAAACTGTTCATACCCTTTCATCTGTCAATACCATTAGCAGGTTTGTAGCCCAAAGGGATACTGAAAAAGGGAAAAGGACCTATATGTGCAAAAATATTTATAGCAGCCCTTTTCATGGTGGCAAAATATTGGAAATTGAGGGGATTCCCATCAACTGGGGAATGGCTGAACAAGTTGTGATATATGAATGTAATGGAATACTATTGTGTTATAAGGAATGATGAATAGGCAGATTTGAGAAAATCCAGAAAAGACTTGTACAAACTGATGCAAAGTGATATAAGCAGAACTAGGAAAACACTGTACACAATATCAGCAACACTGTGTGATGATCAATTATGCATGACTCTGCTCTTCTAAGCAACACAATGATCCAAGACAAGTACAAAGGACTCAGGAAGGAAAATGCTCTCCATGTCCAGGGAAAGAACTGATAGACGCTGCAGACTGAAGCATATTTTTTTGACTTATTCTTTTTCGTGGTTTCTTTCCTTTCGATCTGTTTCTTCTTTCAAAACTGTTACCAATGTGGAAATGTTTTACATGATACCACATGTATAACCTATATCAAATTGCCTATCATTTTTAGAAGAGGGGATAGGAGGGAAAAAAAATTTGATACTCAAAATCTTGCAAAAATGAATGCTAAAAATTGTCTTGACATATATTTGGGAAAAAAATAAAATACTATTAAAAAAACGACAACAAGAAGGCTGGAACAAATATACATAGGTAAGGAAAAGAAATTCTTGCATTGGCCATGTAAAAAATAATGTGTCTTTCTGCCTCTGGAGTCCATCCCCTCTCAGTTAGGAGGTAGGCAGCATTCTTCTTCATCCTCAGTCCTCTAGAATCAGCAGACTGTTTTTACAATTGGGATAACAGAAGCTCAGAAAAAGGAAGGGATTTGTGCAAGGTCCCACAGCTAATCAGAATCAGAAGATAATGACAAAGTCCCATGAGCCTTCTGAAACTCTGTGGAAGCCAATGGGCTGTTGGGCAGCTTCCGACATTCTACATACAGAGTTTTCAACCCAGAGTAATGACTTAGTTCAAGGAAAGTCAGTTCTTCCTGAATTTCAGAGATACTGGGCACAATTCAGAGATCTGGAGTCAGAGAAGAGGGTGGTGGCTGGACGGAGGGGTGAGACAATCCTGGCTTACCTTCTTCTGGTGCTCTCTCTTCTATGGGAGATGAAATTCACTCCAGTTGTAGGCTTGTGTAAGGGAAAGAGGGGTGGGTTTAGACATCAAACCCACATTAAAAACTGCTGAGAGAGGGCAAGGAAGGACCTGATGGAACTGCTGAGAGAGGGCAAGGAAGGACCTGATGGAAAAGATTTGTCCCATTTTCAGGGAGAAGGCTTCCTGGGTTTTCAACTCCCCTCTCCTTTCCCCCACTGCTTCAGTGACAGAGATGAGGCTGGCCCAGTGGCTCTGAGGGAAGAAGAAAAGTGGGGTAATGCTGCAGGGCTCAGGTCCCCCTCCAAATAATACCTCCTTCACCTCTCTGCACAGTGTCTGAAGGTCTATGCCCCCAAAACTTCTGTGGCTGAAGTCATGAAATGTGCAAGAGGACCTCAAGGCAAAGAGATGATGCATCAGAATGCCATGCTGACAGATCATCTTTCCCCTCCACATACATACACCCCTTGGATTCTGGTTAATGAGGTAAGAAGTGTACCCTATCCCCACCTCACCTACTGCCTTCTGTTAAGTTAGCCTAGCCTTCTCCCCCAGGCCACTACTCCCAACCCCCGCCCCCCAACTCCTATCTAAGGAAGGGACCATAATTTCCCCAGGCAGATCACAAGGGTTTCTTCTTAGGGTCTTGTGGGTATCTGGCATTGCCCAGACACAGAAGCTTGTGAGAATGGAGGGAGAAAAGGTGGACCTGAACTCTGACGAGGCAATGCAGTGTAGCGGGCAGAGGACCTGGGTTCAGAACCTATTTGAACAACTCTTTCTGTGACAGGGCTAGCTAGTTTATCCCTCTGTGCCTCTGTTTCCTCACCTGTAAAATAAAGGGGATAGTGGCCTGAGTTCCCTCACAGAATGGATGAGAGGGAAATGGCCTTGAAGTGGGAGTTGTTTTTATCTAGTCTCATTTTACAGATGAGTTATTTTATAGAAGTGAAGTGAGTTGCCCTAGTTCCCAGGTAGTAAGGAGCAGAGCCCAGATGTCTGCCTGGTTCTCTGACTCCAAATCACCCAGTCCATGCTTGTGATCTTGACCACTCTAGCATTCACTGGCCATGTGACTTTGAGTGAGTCCCTTCCACATTCTGAGCCTCCATTTATGCCTTAATCATTCTACTCAGGCTTCTCGGGAGTTATAGTTAGGGTCAGCTTCCTAGCTCTTCAAGCTTATACATTTTCCTTTTATTCTCTATTTCCCCCTGATGGTATCCTTTTTTGTTTTCTGGAGCAGGATCACTTAGAGGATCCAACTCAACTTTTAAATACTGTGTGTCAAAAATACCAGGTGAGTTGCCATACCTCATTTAGAGGCACTTCCAAGAGGAGGAGGAGTCCCTGAAACGGTCAGGTCCTTAATTCAAGAGGGCCAGTGGTGGTGCTGGGGGTTGAGGGTGGTAGTGGTAGTGGCTTCAGGACTCAGGCTCACAGATTCCACATTCCCAGCAGGGAGAGGAGGGGACAAAGATGAGTTGGGACCTAAGAGTAACAGTGTCAATATCTTTTGTAGGGGGAGATGCCTGAAGCCTGCAAAAGGAACACCTTTTCTATCACAAGATGAATATTCTTGCAGTGAACCTGCAGTGGTCTCAGGGGAAGGCCTGGTATAGTACCAGTCATATACATCAGGAGGGAGCTGGTTGGGCTGAGAAGGGACCAAGTCACCAAGAGTAGTAGCCCGGAGTTTGATGTATGTGGGTACCCAGAACTTTCTGTTTCTTCCTGACAGGCTCAGGAAATCTCACCCTCTCCAGAGTTTTCTTGAAATAAAAACCTATTTTGAGAAACATGATTATAGAGATTTTTTTAAAATTACAACTTTTTTTATTATCAAGTTGTTTGTTTGTTTGTCTTAAACAAGAAGGCTAGAGGGCCCAGGTTCTGCCAAGCTCTGACATCCTATGTTCTAACGTTCCTTCCAGATGTGACATTGTGTTCTAAGGTCCTTCCCAGCCCTGGCATTCTATGGGCCAAGCTCTTCTCTAGCTTGGCCAGTGACCTACATTCTCTTCTAACTGCCTCTCTCTTCTATACACTTGGTGGTCTCTCCCAAGGAAAAACATTCTTGACAGCCTTGATAGTGAAGTCTCTTCTCAGAAACACATCCTCCTCAGTAACATTGGTCCCCATTTATACGACACTTTACTCATTACAATGAATCTTTTTTTTTAATTTAAGTTTTCTTACATATACAAGACTGGGTGCTGAAATACTTGGAATTTGTCCAGGAAATAAACCCAGACACATGGCTCAATTAGACAGTAATTAAATTCTGTGATTGAGTGTTGGGTAACTTCGGCCCCACCCTATGCTGGGATCTGGGAAAACAGGTCACAGATCATTCCATTAACACTTGTCTCTGAAAATCACTTTTCCCCGTATGGAGGATGGACTGGAGTGGGTAGAGACTTGAGGCAGGCAGACCCCCTCCCCTATCCCTTCCCACTCCAAGCTACTACAGTAGACCAGGGATGAGGTGATGAGTGTCTGCACTAGAAGGGTGTCAGTGTCAGAGGAGAGAAGGGGGCTTATTGGAGAGATGTGAGGAAAGTGAAGTTGGCAGATCTTGACAACAGCTTGGATATAAGGTGAGAGATACTGAGAAGTCCAGGATGACTCTCAGGTTGTGAGCATGTGGGAACCGGAGCGTGATGTTGCCCTCTAAAGTAACAGAGAAAGAGGTGTGTATGTCTGTGTCTGTGTGTATGTAGTGTTTGGGGCCTCAGTTTAAAATACCTACAGGGACATCCAATCTGAGATGTGGAATGGTCATTTGTAAATAAAATTCTGGAAGTATACAGAGAGGTTAGGTCTAGGGAAATAGATTTCTGAATCATCAGCACAGACAACATTGAATCAAAGGAGGCTGATGAGGTCGTGAAGTGAAGTGGAATTGAGGGAGAAAAGGTCTCAGGACAGAACCATGGGAAACACTTAAATTTAGTGGGTGTAACCCGGATAGAGCTTCAGAAAAGCAGATTGAGGCGCTGACAGACATATGGGAGAACTGGGAGAGAGAAGACCCTTTTAAGGTGTCCTCAGGGTTCAATTTGAGACCAAAACCACAATTTCAAAGGACTCATGAAACATGACAGCCATCACCAGATAGAGAGCTGAAGGACTCAGAGGGCAGATTGGAGAATATTTTCTTTTTTCTTGCTTTTTTCTTTTGGGGAGGGCAGAACATGGCCAAGGTGGAAAGATGTTCTGCAAATTTCTAACAGGAGGGAATAAGCATTTATATAGAGCCTACCACGTGCCACGTCTGTTAAGCATTTTAGGGATACTGACTCATTTGCTTCTCACAACCCTGGGAGGTAGGTGGTTATCATCCCTATTTTACAGACGGGGAACTGAGGCTGACAGCTGAAGACTTACGCCGGGGTCCAGAGGGAGAAGTGCTGAGGCTTATCTGCCCGGGCTTTCCTGGCCGCGCCCGGCGCTCTGGGAACACGGCGGCTCTGCCCTGTTTTTTAGTGAGTTTTATTTTTCTTGCTTCTCCATGGGTGGGGTTGGGGAGAATTTGGAACCGAAAATCAACTAAACTACGACAACTGAATCTAAACCAGACACGTGAGCCGAGCTCCAGCTGCTCAGACGGGGGGAGGGGCCAGGTCACGCGAAGGGAGGAGCTGAGCTCGAGTCTGCGCAGTTCCCACTTCCGCCCAGGGAGCTGTGGGTCCGGTAGGAGGCGGGTCCGCGCTGGTGACGTCACGCGCAGCCGGGCGGCCGTCGGAAGCACGCGTTTGGGAGCCGGAGCCGAGGCCGCGTCCCTGGCGGTGTCGGCGCGAGCTTCCGGGAGCTTCCGGCGGCTTCAGGGTGTCCGGGGCCGCGATGCTCGCCGCGAGTCGTCGTGGGCCTGTGGGCCGCGTGGCGGCCGCTGTTCCGGGGCCGGCTCCTGCTGGTCACCAACACGTTGGGCTGCGGGGCGCTCATGGCGGCGGGGGACGGGGTGCGCCAGGCCTGGGAGCGCAGGCTGAGCGAGGGCGCCTCGGGCAGCCCCGGCCGATGGACCTGCGCCGCACCGGTGAGCCGACCCCCCGACCTGGCCCCGGGATCGGTGTGACGTGGGAGCCGCGCTGGGGCGGTCCCTGAATGGGGGTCACCCTGCCGTCCTCCCATAGACCGCCGAAATGCACAAGCACACCGACACGCCTGCACAGGAGCAGCCCCTAGCTCAGCTCACCATTTGTTAGCGGAGTGGGTTTGGGGGCATAGCAGTAAAAACGTGCAAAAAAAAATGAAAAGCATCAGTTTTTTTTTTCAAGAATAGAAAGCTGGAGGGACTTCAGCTTCTGGAATGTTTTGGATTTTTCTATTTGCCCTCGGCATTGTCCCCTGAGGCTTTGTGAATAGAGAATCATAGGGCCAGACTGAATCCACTTCAGCAATCATGTATTAAGTACCTACTGTGTGCAAGACTAGAACTTTGAGTAACGAAAATTTGTCTGACAAGATGGGAAGGATGAAGGCAGAAAGGGATGAAGAGAGGCAGCAAGGAGTCTGATTTTGTAGAAATAGAAACAGTAATAATAATAATATCATTTGCATTGCACTTTAAGGCTTGTGAAATGCTTTATAAAAATTATCTCATTTGGTCTTGACCACACCCATGGGATGTCAGTGGTATTATGATCCTCATTTTATAGATGAGGAAGCTGAGGCAGATAGAGGTTAAGTGCCTCTTTCTTTAAGGGTGACAGCTAGGAAGTGTCTGACCTCTGATGTTCCTGCCTTCAGGTCCAGGACTCTAGCCACTGAGCCACCCAGCTGCCTCTGCTCTAAGTGGAGCAGAGGGTTTTTGTAGAGAGGCAGGAGAAGATTAGGTAGGTTGAAAGCTGATTGTTCAGGGCCAGGTAATGCTGGCTGCCTGGGTGGGAGAAGAGTCTGGAGGTGGGAAGCCTGTTAGAGCTGCAAACACTTTTAAATAGCTCATCTTTTCTGTCTCTCCTCTGCCTTGCAAGGAAACCCTTCAGTTTGGCATTCAAACCAGGCTTCCTGATTCCCAGTCCAGAACTGTAAGCTGCTCCTCAGGTGGTATCCTCAGGTACCTTTGGGACAGCCACATGGAGCTGTCCAAAAGGCATTTGGACATGCAGGAGTGGATTTCCAGGGAGAGGTTGAGGCTAAAGAGGTAGATTGTGGAGGTGATGAATGTCTAGAGAGTAGATGAGATCTCAGGATTGAGTCTAGTGAGAAAACAGCAAAGGACTCCATTTTGAGCTTTGGAGAAGAATCAGTTGTAGAAAGTTGGCAGTGTGCATGTGGTAGTGGTGGGGCATTATCTCCTGCCTCTTCTCTTCTTCCCCCATGCCTGCTTTCGGGGACCCTAAGGGTCCTCAAGAGCCTGCCAGGAGTGTATTCTGTTTGCTAGTTTTTGCTCTGCTTCTGTGGGTTTGGGTTCCTTTTAGCCATCACCCAAAGGGGAGAAATTGACCTCAAGCCTATAGCCAAGGAGAATGTGAGCCCTGCATGGTAGCACTGACCAGCAGTCCCTTATCCTAGAGTGGAGGTTGAGGCTGAGGGATCTGGAGGGCTCTGGAGTTCAGAGTTGCAGCAGAGCTAGAGTCAACTGGGTGCCCATGCTAAGTCTGGCACTTTTTTTGTAGGGAGTGTAGCTCCAGGGAGCCCAGGCCCTCAGGCTCCCTAAGGATGGTCTAACCAGCTCACGAGCTCAGGTCAGAAATGGAGCAGATCAGAGAGAGAGAGAGAATGTGTTCAGAAAAAAATGCTGGGCTTCCAGATGATCCCATGCAGACAGCTCTGAGAAACTGGGGCTACCAAGAGGTTCAAGGGGGATGTTATACAGCTGTTTAGGTGTTTAGGGATTGTGACAAGAAAGGTAATCTGGATAATCCTTTGTGAGGAATACTTTAAGGCTCAGAGTGGGAGGCTGAAGCCTCAGAAAACATTGGGAACTCATTCCTGAGAGCAGCTTCAGCTGGGTGGTGTGGGTGGCAGGCATCTATCTTCTCAGGGCTTCCATGGAGACTAAGGAGGTCTATTCCTTTTCTCCTCAGTTAACTATCTATGATTGGGAGGACTAGAAAGACTATTCTGTTGAGCTAGGATCCGTGGTTTCATTGGGATGGGAACTCCCAGCAGAAGACACTCCCTCTGCCAATGCCAGTTGGTACCTGCTTTGCCACTTAGAGGGCTGGAGAGAGCTGTTGGAAGCACTGAGAGCGGAGCCCAGATCACAGCCAGTCTGAGTCAGTTCTTCCTGGCTTTGATGCCACTGGGTTATGCTATTTCCTGGGCTTGATCCAAATGCCTTTTCATTCATTCATTCAAAGTTTCAATAAAGTTTAGTCCTTGTCCTCTGGGACCCAAGGGATACAAACACAGATAACTGGACTTGAATAACAAGAAAAAGCATTTCTTGTGCTACCTATGGACTAGGCAGGGTGCTCAGCACTGGGGATCCAAATACTAGTAAAAAGGAGAGATAGCCCCTGCCCTCAAGGAGTTTCCATTCTAATGAGGGAAGCACCAATCCAGGAGTTTAAAAGAGAGGGGGAGAGAAGGATGTTACCCATGAAGGTTAGTCTGGGAGAGGAGGACCTTTCCTCAAATGGCCATGCCAGAAAGAACTGACTAGTGGGAGAAGGAGGTCAAAAGGGTGAAAAGAGTATTCCAGGGCAAGAAGGCCAGAGTAGAAGAGATCACCTCCAGGGAGAGAAGGCAGCTGAGGAATGATGTCAAAGCTGGAAGAGCCACATGCATTTCAGAGACATGATCTGAGTAGAAGGGAGGATGGAAAGTGTGACCCATGGGAAGGGATGAGATGAC